ACGAATCGCGTGGGCGAGCCGGGGGGGGAACGTGCAGAGCCCGTCAGGTCCCGTTTTAACCGTGAGAGACAGTGACTGGTGCAGAAATCAAATCCCATTTTCCTCCCCGAATTAGCACGGCCGGGGATCTGCGCTGGCAGGGGAGCAGCTCGGTCGCAGCCGCAGCATAGCACGGCACAGCTGAGGCGGGCTGTAAATTCTGTAAATTCTGCACCACTCTTACATAAAGGCTTTTGGGAAGGGGGTTACTCCGATATTCATTAACCCTTCGGTCTGTAGAAACCCGCTTATTGCCATTCCCAGTGCCCATGGGGCTGGGGAGCGGGGAAGGGGCTGATGTCTGCCAGCGTCCCCAAGGCCGGGTGTAGGAGGGACATGGCATCGTTCCCTGACACCCTCTGCTTTTTGGGGTGCTCCAGGCTTCCTTGTGCAGCCCTGGAAGGGTTTTTTGGCAAAAAGCAGGCGTTAAGGGTATGCCTGGTGTGCCACGTGTCCCAGCAGCACCAGCTTTTGGGTGCTATGTCCTTACAACGCAGAGGCTTGGGTTTGAACGTGAACCAGCTGGGTTTTGTATCCATAACCTCCCCGTGTTTTGTATTCATAAACCCCTTGTATTTACATCCATAAACCCCCTGAGTTTTACATCCATAAACCTCCGTGTTTTACATCCATAAACCCTCTGTGGTTTACATCCATAAACCCCCGTGTTTTATTCACAGAGGGATTTTGCTTCTCCAAGACGTGGGAAGGAAACACCGACTGCGTTACCGGGGGGAAGGGTTGCGGGGGTGGGCACCCAGGGCAGGTTGGCAGCACAGACACCCCCGGCCCCGGAGCATTGTGCGTTGGAGATCTCACTTCCAGCCATGCATTTCAATGCGTCTGATCTGCTGCAATATTCAAACCGGTGGCTTTAAACATTTAAAAACAAAAAAAAAGGCTGCCCATTGCTATTCCCCTCACAGCTGTGCTCGCAGCACTCGGGGTATGAATGGACGCATTCCTCTTACCCACGCCTTATCTCCGCACAGCAACCTCCGCTCTCCATCGGCTTTGGCTTCAAAGCTTTCCGCTCCCGGGGCTGAAATGCAGCAGCGTTAGCACAGACCCAGCCTGGAGCCTTCGATATCTTAGAGCTGAGGCTTCTCCTCATCCTCCCCACCCCCAGCCGGTGCTGCCTGCGGCTCCCCCCTCCTCAAAGCCCCTTCAAACCAGCAGAGCCCTCCCCATCCCACTGCAGGCGCAGGCAGCAAACTGGAGCCACAGCTCCCGCCTGCCGCAGCATTTGCTGCTTCTTAGGAGAAAAAAAAACCCCTCGTTTACTCAATTGAAGCTTCCCCGTTGATTTAATTAATGCAAATTGAGACATGTGTTAAAAGCTCCTTGTAATTACCGTAACACTGTAGTGGTTTGGTTGGTGGGGTTTTTTAATTTTTCTTGTATTTTGAAGGAAAATAGTAAGGCCTGGATTCACGACAGGCCCACGGCCCTGCAAGCTGAGCCCAGGGCATGCAGTGAGCTCTGGTGGAGGAGCTCGGTGTCCAGCCGTGGGCTGCAGTACCGGCCCCAAAGACCAGCGTGGACACAGACACGGTGCTGACCCTGCTCCAAACCCAAAACTGGGCAGCACCCTCTGGAGCAGAGCTATAGATTCCGTTGATTGGTGAGTATGTGCTTGTTTTTATCTTGATTTTTCTATTGGGAAAGTCAAAACTTGGTTCTGGGTGAAGTTCTGAAGAAAAAAACCCAAGTTTCTTAATTGCCAAAGCAAATGGTTATCACCTAACACATCGGCTTCCTGGCTGCCTTGAGCTGGAAATCCCGGATGCTTGCAGTCATGAGGGATTCAGCTCCACTTTACCACCTTCCCAAGCACCAGTTCCTCCTGTGTGGGTTACTGGGCAGGACTGGGGCTCTGCTGGGCCCTGGGCACCCAGTGCAGGGCAGGCCCTGGCCGGCTTTGAGGTGCAATGCTGCAGGGCTGGGCTGCGGGCATGATGCTTGCTGGGCCATTAAAACACAGTGCCATGGGTCAAGCAGGCTCCAATTCACTCTGCCAGCAGCAACGAGGGGATTTTGAGGGCACAACTGGTTTTTTCACCAGTTTTCACTCTGCAGCAGAAGTCTCATTTCAGGCTGGAGCTCTTGCTGGTCCTAGAGTTGATTCCTGAATAAACAGGGAGGGGGAAAGGGCTGAGAAGGGAAACTGAGGTGCTGGAGAGGAGAAGGGGCTGTGTGGGGTCTCTGCAGTTCCAAGTTACTCAAATAAAGCCACTAAAACAGATTGGAGGGATTGGTTTTGGTCAATATCCAGATTTCCCCCATTTTAGGAAGGACAGGGTAAGCATTGATAGCGGCTTTCTAACAATGTTCATCACACAAGGCCTGGGTTGGGGTTTTTTTTGTATTTAATTTGTTTTTTTTAATTAAAATGAAGCACTTACATTGGGTATCACAACACAAGTGTGTCTTTTCAGGTACTGATTTTAGCATACAGCAGCAGTTTGCTGGTTTATTGTATAAAAGACAGAGATGTGGTTTTCCCCTAGAAAGGCTGCCTTTGTCTGCCCGTTCTCACGGCTGCAGTGGATGTGTCTGGTCTTTTTTCTGTTAATATATATCTATTGCTCTATCATGAACTCAAATTAGTGGGGGGAAAAGGGATCAAACAGCAAATGTTAAGTGCAGGTATTGTTTCCATGCCGGTGTTGCTGAGTGATTACAGGGGGTGGGTGAAGAGCCAGCAGGGATGGAGCAGGAATTAACCCATTTTGATGCTGAATTGTCAGTGGAGATGGGAAGGGAACTGCTTGTTATCCTGAGAGGATTTAAAGTGTGAAAGCATAGATCTGGGCCTCCTCATCAAACAGAGGTGGAAAGATGCTGTAAAAACACCCAGACTTGTTTCCTTGGCTCACAAATCCTGTGGGAAGAAGCACATTTTCTTCTCCTCGTGGTGACTGATGGATCTCATCTATATACAGCACCTACAATATCTGTATTACAGATATAGAAATCTGTATAGATAATGAGCCACGGGATAACGAGCTGGGGAGATCAGGGTCTCCTGTGTTACCAGAGCAAGGGGTTGGATGCAAGGTGAGGGGAGCGCTTCAAAATCCTCCCTTTTGATCCGGATTCGACCTTGCTCTGTCTGTATGAAGCACTCGAGAGCTGCATTCCCACCTGCTCCCCAGGCAGCAGATCTCTGCAAGAAAAAAAAGATGTAAAACCTGCTACCGTTTGGCTGCGCAGTGATTTTTGTCAGGGAAACAGCTTTGATAGCGAGCGGCCCCAGAGCATTATTTTCCAATTCGGTCTTGGTGGGAACGGGCTCAGTGTGGGGGCTGTTACAACCTTATTTCTGTTGTTTATTTGACATCGGGGAAGTCATATTCCTTTAAGAGGGTTTCCATCCCTGGACTCCTCCCATCGTGACACTTCCAAGCTACATTTTGTCTTGAAAGGGTGGCAGTATTTTTAACCATATCACGCCAGGGAAGTATTAATAGCACAATGGGCTTGCTGAGCTGCTGCTGGAGCTGCATCCATATTTTAAATTCAAAGAACTAATTAGGAACCGGAGGATAATTAGTGCTATACCCAGCTTCCTCCCCCCCCCCTTAATTTTCAAAGAGCTGGAGCAAAATGTCTTTACTGGAATCTTCTATGGCTGCTGAA